AACTGCTTTTGAACTTATATTGCACATGTAAGTGAGCTTGGGGTGGAAGATCCTTGAGGACCCCTTGTCTTACTGAGATTTCTTGTTTAGAGATCTCACCCCACGTTTGGGGAATGCTTATTTCAGGTTCAGGTAGTATGGTGACTGATGCCTCTGGCGGCAGGAGGCCAGAGCTTAGCTGACTATGATATTACTGCTTATTTGCTAGCATGACTGGATTGGATGCTGCTTATGTTTTATGCACCTTATTTTATGATGAAGTTGTTGAGACTGATGTTGGGCTTTGTTTCCTTATTTGAGTGAGCATGGGGATTTCCATGACACTTGCTGTTAGTACTTTAGATTGGAGTTGTATAAACTGGTAGTTGGTCCGGTCTACCTGATGTAGTTCCGTGACTAGAGACTCATTTATGTTATTTTAATTAATGAGGTATTTCAGTTAGCTGTTTATTGCAATGTACATACAGGCAATGTTTTGAAAATGGTTAAGTAATCAAGTTGGTAATGATTAATGACATCATAATTGAAAAGAAAAAGATATTCCGCAATTTTAATTAAGCGCAGCTTAATACGATATTATGATAACATTACCGTATATATACGGGGTGTTACACAAGGCTGTAAAAAAATGGCGCCACTATCTGTTGGGTTCTAGATTTATAATTAGAACTGACCATAGAAGTTTAAAGGAGCTCATTTCTCAAACTATCCAAACTTTGGAGCAACAGAAGTATGCCTACAAGTTGATTGGGTATGACTTCTCCATTGAATACAAGCCTGGTATAACTAATATTGTTGCTTGTTCTTTGTCCAGAAGAGATGAGGAAGATGATCCTGGTAAGTGCTTAGCCCTTGTCTTAGAAATTTCATTTAAAATTGTTGATCAGATTAAGAGGGAGAACAGTACAGATCCTGAATTGTTACTCATTCATTCGAAATTGGAGAAAGGTGAATGCTCTGATTTGTGTGTATCTGAGAGGAATGGAATTTTATTCCATAAAAATCGCTTTCTCCTTAGCTCAAATTCTCAATTGAAGCAAGAGTTACTGTCAGAAGTTCATGCTACTTTATTGGGGGGCCATGCTGGTGTGACACGCACTCTCCTTCATTTATCAGCCTCGTTTTACTGGCCACAAATGAGGAAAGATGTTACTCAGTTTATCAAGGAATGTGCTACTTGTCAGTTTGTTAAGACAACCACAACTCCTCCATTTGGGTTATTACAGCCTTTGCTAATTCCAAATGGAGTTTTTGAAGATCTTAGCTTGGATTTTATAACTGGACTACCACATTCCCGTGGCTTTTCTGTGATCCTTGTAGTGGTAGACCGCCTTACAAAATATGCACATTTTGGTGCGTTATCAAACCTGTATACAACAGCAAGGGTGGCAGCACTGTTCTGTGATATGGTTGTGAAACTCCATCGGTACCCAAAAACCATAGTTTCTGATAGGGACAGTGTGTTCTTGAGTCAGTTGTGGACCTTGTTGTTTAAATTTAGTGGAACAAAGCTGCATACAAGCACCATTTATCATCCTCAATCTGACGGACAATCGAAAGTTACAAACAGATATTTAGAACAATATCTTCGAGCTTTCTGTTCTGATGAGAACCATAGGTGGTTATTCTATTTGGGTTGGGCTGAGTTGCATTATAATACAGCCCATTACTCTTCTATTGGCATGAGTCCCTTCCAAGCATTATATGGGAGGCTGCCAACAGTGATTCCTTATTACCACCAAGGCTTGGTTAAAGTGGAAGCTGTGGATTCATCCTTAACTCATTGCAATGAACTATTGGCTCAGCTTAAGAATCATTTGCAAGGAGCCCAAAATAGGATGAAGGTGCAAGCAGATAAACATAGGAAGGACATCTCTTTTGATATGGGAGATTTAGTCCTTGTGAAACTCCAGCCTTACAGGCAGATTACGGTGGCAAAAAGACAGAATAAAAAATTGTCAAAAAGGTACTTTGGCCCTTTCCCTGTTATCAGAATTTCGAGCCCGGTGGCTTACCAATTGCAGCTGCCAGAGGGGAGTAAAATACATTCATCCTTCCAAGTATCAATTTTGAAACCGTTCAAAGGTGATCATCCTGATTTGGTTCCAACCTTACCTGTTCTAAATCATGGTGATTGCCCTGTTCAAGAGCCCGTGGCTGTCCTCATGTCTCGTAGGGGTTCATGCAAAAATTCATCTGGCACTCGATGATTGATCCAATGGTCTCATGCTTTACCAGAGGATGCCACTTGGGAGGATGAGGTTGACCTTAAATTGTACTACCCTCACTTGAACCTTGAGGACAAGGTTGCTAACCAAGACGGGGGCAATGTTACGAAGAGGAGGAGTGGAGCTCCAAGTTGGGTAAAAGACTTTGTTGTTAATATTCATTAGGAACATAATTGATAGAGAAGGTTAATAGACTGTTATAGATGTTACTAGACTGTTATTGATGTTACTGATATAGCCATTGTTAATTGTAATTGTGACGTGGCATTGGTTATTACACTCATAGCTTGCTGTCATTATAATAAAAGGACAGCTGTTGTAATTGCTACCATTCATTCAGAAAATAAAACAAAAACAGTTCTCTTGTTTCTTATTTCGTTCCTCTTCCTCTTCCTCTGTTAAGGGTACAAACCCTTATCAGTATATTATATTTAATTTCAACAATTTAATAAAAAAAATAAAGCTAAACTTATAATACCTATCAATGTTGCAAAGAAACATAAGATATTCCAAATGTTTATATTAAATTCAATAAAATAGTCATCGTAATCCAACAAATCTAATAGTTGAAACTCAAAATGCAACGCAACATAACCTTTGAACCTTTTTTGAGTCTTTGCAACGAATATTGGAGTGTCAAAGTGTTGGTGAGTGTCGAGAAGTGTCGGACACGACACGTCAAGAATTTTGAAGTGTCGTGCTTCATAGCATGTAATAATCTAATATCTGTTCTAAAAAAGGTTTTAATCTACACATGCTTTTGAAATGAATATATTTTTTTAAATATTTTGGAGATGGATTTCAAACACAACGTCATCTGTCCTATACAATTGCTAAATTGAGCTTAAAATTAGAAGAAAGTTTAAATATATTTCTGGCTCTCTAAATATTATAATTTTCGATTGCGGTCCCTAATCTATATATTCTAGTTAAAAGATGGCGTTATCTGCTACGAAGAATCCTATGCAGAAAGCACTAATGCGCGATGTCGTGAATATTATAGTAAAAAAAAAAAAAAAATACCCATGTTTATCAAACATTGGTAATATTGAGATAAAACATTTAATTTAGGGATAAAACAAAAAATTGCTACATTGAGAGGAAATATTCAAACATTTAATTTTAAATTTGTTCATTGTTAACATACCAACTAAAATTTCTACTCCAATATACAGTTTTCTCCAACCCATAAATCTTAAACCTAGAAACCTCACCCTCAAGCAACTCATCAACCTAAAATCTATTACTTTAAAACACTCTGATCATTCTTTAAGCTATCCAAAGCTAACAACATTCATGTTATATAAAATACAATTTAAATCATGAAGTGTATCCGGTCCATTCATATAACCCATGTTTATCAAACCTACAACTAAACCACCAAACATCCATAACCACCCACTTGAGACCCATCACATCTCAAAGTTACTGCTTTGTTTCCAAATTCATAGCCTGTATGCAACAAAGACCGCCACTATCTTGAACTCTATATGCCTATGTTTTGTGGCCTTAAAGATAAGTCATTAACAAGCATCAATTTCAACCATCATATCTCAAGTTTGTCCCTCCACATCACTGGATAACACCCACAATCATGAGCCCATAAAAATTTCATTGCCTTCTTGTTGAAGCATCCCTTCTTGTAAACATCATTTTCCATTCCTTAAAAAAGAAGAGGGGGAAAGAAAGCAGCAAACCTCTAATTCCCCGTTCTTTTTCTCTATCTTGCACTGCATGTTAGTAACACTCACATTCACATACCAGAAATTGTGATGACTCATCTAATTCATCCAAAAAATGAAGAATGATGATGGAAATGTAACAAAAGAAAAAATTGAAAAAGAAAGATTCTTGTTTTAATAGATGGCATCAAATGAAATCAATTTTGTTTAGCTCAACAACGAAACCAAAAATTTAAAAGCAAGGGCAAAAACAAATAAAAAAAAGAAAGAAAAGGAAGTGTCTCCAAGAAGACTACACTAATGAGTAATTAAGTAACAAAACAAATGAAATTTAAAGAAACTGAAGAGTCTCTGAAATGGTGAAAGTTGAGGTTGAAACAGTAAGGGAATGTAAAAAGCAATGAAAATGGTAGTGGGGTGCGTTTCATGTGCAGGAAAATAAGTTGAAAGTGAAGAAGTGGCTCATGCTGAGAGTTGAGACATTTTCAAATCAGAGATTAAAAACAGAGTGGTGAGACAGCTAAAAAAATAGAATTACGAAAAGCTGATACATTGATCATGCACATGATGTGGTACATGTGACCGACCCTCTCAGCCTACAAGCTTGAATTTATAAATTATAGATACATATTAAATAAATGAGTTTAATGTTTCTGCTTTTACCATGAAAAAATTTCTCTGTCACACTTATATAAAAGTGAGTGAATCCCATTATAAAAAGAAAAAAAAAAAATTAGTAGAACTCACTTAATTTTATGTGAGTATCGCAAAAAAAAAAAATTCTGTAATCAAAACTGTCATAAATTCGTAATTTCTTATTTAAAAAACAATATATCAATTTTTCTGCCAATTAATGAATGATCGAATAAAGAAACAGAAACATTTTTCCCTAAATAAATAAATTATGTAAAAATTAATAGAACAAAGAGAAATAAACAAAGTGAACTGATCCGTGAATGACAATGCAGTTTCAACATGTTTAGGGGAAACAATGCTGCAGTAGCGCAGCTGAGAGGTTCCCTAACTTGAGCCCCTCCTCAGAATAGTACTTTGCTGTAAGCAGATGCTTTAGGGTGACATGTAACTCAAATAAACAAATAAATGAAAAACTCTTATTGTGTGGATCTTTGAGCCATGTCGTTTCATGCATAATACAAAGTGAAGCAAAAAATTATTGTAATTTCATACTGTTAAGTTATTTAGGAGCCAAGGTTGTCTCACACAAAGACTATTGAGTCTGAAACTTCTTAACACAAACAATTTAATGCAAAGAAAGGAAAAATACATTCAAATCAAGAAGCCAAAGCTCTAATGTGGCTACAGATCATGCCTTTGTTGGTGATTCACTAGAGCTGGCAGCAGTAGTATTTTTCCCTGATTGAGATGTAAGTGTCTCTAGAGTGCTGTGAAATTCTTTTGGGAGAGGAGGAGGTCGGTGGAGAGGAACATGCTTGGGAACTGGTGCATCATTTTCAATCACCTCACATTCGTAATCATCTGGGACACCCCAAGGATCCCACTCTGCAATCCCACATTTGCATAGTACATAAGTAAAATAACAACTTTTCCTAATCAGTTGATGCAAAAGCTTTCCCATGGATGCATTTAACAAATTGCCTTTCATTTGAACCAATTCAAGACTTATAATATTCTGTTATTCCAAAAGAATAAAAATAAAAATTGTTAGAAATAATATAATATTAAATAGTATTGTATTATTTCTTATTCTGTTATTCTAGTAGGTTATTTGGGCTTGGCCCATTAGGTCATTTAACCTCTTTAAATAGAGGTCTTTTGTATAGTTCTATACACAATTGAATACAATACATTCATACATTCTAATTTGGTATCAGAGCCTCGTGTTCTGGGTTCGATCCTCGTTGCCCCTCACTTTCTTTCAAGTGAAATTTCTTTCTTCGCATAGGTAGGTGGGCCTATGCATTGTCCACTCTTCAAGCCCAGTGGGCTCTCGTGTGAGGGGGCGTGTTGAGATATATAAAATCATTAATTTAACCTCACCCAACAGCTTAAGCTTTTGGGTTGAATTGGTTCTTTACACTGGTTATCCATATATACCACAAGTATGCTACTGAAACTCCAGAATCAGAAGAAGCTCCAAACAGACAGATGGAATTGCAAGGGCCTGTAACAAGGAGAAATCTCAGAAGCAACGAGGGTTTCTCAAGGAGAAGTAGGTTGAAACTTAGATTCAGAAGTATCTCTATTTTGGGCAGGATTTTTCAGATAACAGGTTACTTCCATTCCACCTAAGTGCCTAAGATTCAACGGTTTTCAAAATCTTACTCGGGATCCCAGCAAAACAAGTTCTATGCTGGGATTTCAGCCAAAAAAAAGATTAGAATCATATATATTAAGTTTAGACTAGTGATTCTGACAACACTGGATTGTTTGAAGTAAAAATATATATATATATATATATATATATATATATATATATATATAATTTACTAGCACTTGAATTACTCTAACTCTAAGAGAAATAAAATAATGTGGTGGAAGATTGCATCCTTCTTTAATTAATACCAACATACAGATTCATATCTCGAGTTGGAAGACAAATAGACGGTCTACTAGTACATAGAACAAGACTCAAACAGGGCCTCTGACATATGAAGGTAAGGTCAAAAACCAGGATGGCAGGAACTATCTCTTATGCTGCAGTTTATTGGGTAATAAGTGGATATATAATAAGAATCAATCTATGAAAGTTTATACAAGAGATAAAAAAAATAGGAAGGTTTGGGCTGTTAATGAATTGACACATACACAAATTGGTGGGAATAGTCATCAACAGAATCAAAGGGGAGTTTTGTTAGTGGCCAGGTCAGCATTGGTCGGACCCATTAAATGGTGCTGAACGGAAATTAGTTGGTATCCTCGAAAATCCTGGACTTGGCTGTACTTGGGAATGAATCAGAGCTTCTCCAATTACTGTGATACCTTTCTGCATTGTTTGCTTTCTGTTTTTCCATCTTTCCTTCCCAGATTTCAGCTCCCTCCCTTACTCATTGCTGTACTGGGTTATTGAGATGTAGTAATATACAAGCCTATATAGTTGTATTATCTTAATTTTCTCCCAATTCTGTGACTGGTAGTCTGGTACCTATCAATATATTAGACCTTTTTTGTTTTCTGCTACAATAACAGCACATTAGTCTTGATTGGCTACAGACCAAGACAATGATGAACTTCTACAGTAGAAAAACATGGAAACGAGTACATGCTAAAATCCTAAATTACCAGGATTTCAAAAGTGAAGGCTTCCAACCAACTTGCTCGTGTGTTCATCTGCTAATTTCTATCCCATTTCCACTATTGATTTTATGATGCTTTGCAGCCTCTTGTTCATTTATTCCTTCATTCCATAGTTTTCTTTCACAAAGAAAAAAGAACTAAAAGCCATGTTCGCAAAATGCAATGTTTTTCAAAGCAAATGATAGCAACAGTGCAACAACAGAATACTTGCTGACAAGTGAAAACGGACCAGTTGAAAAAGGCAACCTACACAGGGTCATCCGTAAAACTAAGATTTATACATATAATAGATCGACTGCTGCCAACAATGAAACCATTCAATCCCTCGGAGCACAAATGCATTCACAAATGAAAACGGGAAACCAAACAAAAGAAAAAACATCCTAGTACATTAACATTTGCATTCACCTTTCCATCAGCCCTCAATCACACCATTCTACAAAGGTAAAAACACAAACATAAAACAAAACACAAATCATCACACCCAACAATAAACACACGACAATGTGACACTTTGATGATGCTAAACAAACCAAACAAACAACAAAAAGAAGTAACAACCCACAAAGAAGGATGTGATTTCCCGGACTTGTATGATTAATGCATATGGAAAAAAAAAAGGGCGAGGACATGAAGATGTTAAGCTGTTTCAGAAGACGAGAGAGTATGGGAATACAGTGTTGCCATTCTGTGACTTTTTTATCTGTTTTATCAGCTTGTGATCACTCTGAACCAGTGGATGAACGAAAAAAAAAAAAAAAGTATCAATTTGTTGAAGAAGAAATTTTGTCTTGAACCAAATCCAAAGCACTACTCATGCTTCATCGATATCTTATCCCAAGCTGGTAAGACTGAAGTAAGATCCACAAACCACAATAAGATTGAGCAGTGTCAAACCACCCACACACACACACACACACAAATAAATAAATAAAATAAACATGCAAATTCATGAAACCCTGCAAATAATCGAGTACTTTTTCTATCACATCCATATATTTTTTTTTTAATAAAATAACAAAGACAAAAACATTAAAACACAACACAACATAGAAAAAAAAAAAAAAAAAAACCTTAAATTCCTCGACCCAGAAAAACAAAGAATAAAACCACAGAATACAACATAAAAAAAGAGGAACAAACCGATCATGTAGGAAATGAGCTTGAGTTCATCCTGAGCTTCCTCGATGAGCTCTTCGACCTGTCCACAACCAAGACGGTTCTCGATGGCTTCCCAATCCTCTTCATCCCGACACACCTTGAGCCTGTGACTGGTGAAGCTCTCCACCGCTTTACGGTACCCTTCGTCTTCTGGAACCTTCTTGATCTCATTCAGGGTCTTGTCGTACAACCCTATCAGCACCTCACGCGCGTTCGGAACCACATCCAGCCCAACGATCCCCGTCGTCTGCTTCACCTTCGCCATCAATGGCCGCGCCACCGCACGCAGGAACATCTTCGATCGCTCTCACTCTTCTTCTTCTGCTTCTTCTCTGTGAATGCTCCCAGTGTAGTTCGATATTTTGCTTTTCTATTGGGCCATTGACAAAGATCGAATTTGGGCCAGCAGTTGATGGGCCCATCATTGATGGACTTCGCTTGTTGGTTCCGCTGATTCATCTCATGCTTACGCTCACTACTTTTAGAAGGAGGAAATTTTCATTAATTATGCAATTCATACTCTCGACTAATATTAGAAATTTATAAATTCATATCAGAATAAAAATAAAGAAATGGATGGAATAAATACAAATAGACGATTCACATGTTTTTAATTTTACTGGGGTGGTATGAAACAGGGCACGATATTAACAGATATGGTTCAAGTCTCATTTTATGAGAGCTCAAGGAATGGAATTTAAAGAAGAATTCAATAGTTTGATTCAAAAAATATTATCTACATCGAATTTATGGTTATAAAAAATATTTGTCATATTTTTTATTTTTTTTGGTACATTGCCAGGAGATATTCCCATTCAACCTTCTCCGGGCACCATGCCCTCGGGGTACGACCCGTTTGGGCTAGCCCTTCATTGTAAGGGTGGATGCACTAAGCTTGAGGCAGGGTTTGATCCCTGCACCAAGCAATCCCTTGGGAGCTCAGCTGCCAACTGAGCTATTCTTGGGGTTATATTTGTCATATTTTAAAAGATAAGATTTGGGTTGTGTTTGAATTTGATTGGGTGCAAAATTTGCTATTACAATCTTTCTTTAATTATTAGAAATTTTATTGCTGATTGATTTGTAACGACTCATCCTTATTTTTATCTTTTTATTTTTAGAAAATAGTTATCCTTAGCATTATCTTTATTTTTATTTTTAAAAGTTTCTTTCGTATTAGGATTTAAATTATGTTTTGAATGTAAGGAAAACAATTAATGAGAGTTCTATCTAGAGTTTTATTAAAAAAATTGAGAATTTTCTCTCAATTCTTTGAAGAACTAGTGAGTTTATCTGAATCACTCTATGTTGTTCACCAATTTGACTTATTAAATAAATTTTCATAACTATTTGTGGCGTCATTGACTATACCAATTTAAGTTTATTAAAATATTCACAAGACATATTCGATTCTATAAGATCTTCATAAGATATTAATTTCCAACACTTCCAACTTTTTTTTTATATATATAAACTTGCATTCTAATATATTTGTATATAATAATGGTACTAAGATACAAACCTCTAACCTAAAAAGGTATATATTTGCATTCACAAAAAAAGGTATATATTTGTTTATGGGTGCATATTTTCTTATGTTGTAGGATAGTAGGAGAGGAAAAAAATAGAGATAAGTTAAATGTGGGTCCCACATTTTAAATTAAAAAAGAAAAAAAAAATTAATTGGCACGGAAAACGAATTTGTGTAGGAAAAAGTTCTTATCTCATGTAGATGGAGATAATGATTTCCCTTTGTTTATTCATGTCTCTATAAGTTTTTTTCGGATTTATCATTTTTTTCTTCGATTAACTTGTTCATTTTTAAAAAAAAATAAAATTCTTAGTTTATGGACAATGTTTTGTTTTTATGTTCATGTGATGAATGAATTCATCAATTTGTGCTTATGTTCTCGTTTGTTTCCCTCAATCTATTACACATGGAACTTATAAATAATAATTGTTCCCAATTGATTGTAACATCAATTTGTTTACGCTCTAAAACAGTTTTTTATTTTATTTTAAGTTTCTTTTTTTTTGGAGATATTGTTCCGCATTCTTATTTAAATTTGATTGTAAAAAATGATTTTAAACTTATCACTTTTCTTACCTATTTGGTTATCATTGAATTATTTTGAAATCAATGGTTAATAATAATAACTACCGTTGATTTTAAATTGATATAATGATAAACAAACATGTGATAAGAGTGATAAACCTAAAATGGTGATAAATATAACCGATCCCGTAAATAAATTATCTTTTCTATTCTTAAATTAATGCTTTATTCCTAATTTCCATCACAATATTTTATAAAATAAATAAATATTATATTTTCCACTCATTAAATGATTATTTTTAAAAGGGTATTAACATGTTTACCAAAAAAAATAAGGGTATTAACCTTAACACTTTAGAGTTTGTAACTCATGCTAGAATATTTTATGACCAAAATATTACTGCAAATATTTATTAATTTTACTGAATGAGTGTTTAGTTGATGTTAAAATATTACTGAAAAAATATGTAACTTTTACGAAACTACCCTCCCTCATAATAAATAACTTTAAACACGATGTTTTAGAAACAAAATTCATTAAACAAATTCATAAAACAACAGTGCATTATGAACCACGATGGAGATCTGGACGTGCACAAGGTTAGGCAAGTTTCACGGCATGCATCATGAAGTTAGATAGAGATCTGGTTAACGATTTGTGAAACAACTTATGCCAGGGCTCACAAGGGTATTTTTGTCTGCAAAAAATGTAAATGGATACCCAATAGGCAGGTATAAAAAAATTACCATATTGAATGAGGTATTTTTTTGGCCTATCGGTAGTGTTAAATGGATACCTGGTCACAAAATATCCCAAGGCAAAATTTATGTTTTCCTTGTACCAAATATGGATATAAATAATTCCCACTATCAAATTTCTGGATATCCATTTTATTACCATGTACCAAACAGCTCCTAAAGGATACTTAAGCAAAACCCACGTAATAAAATAAGGTTTTGCTGTGCATAGACAATAACAATGTTGGCTCTCATCTTCTCCAATCTGCCCTGCAATCAGTAATAACTTTTTTTCTTTATTTTTTTCTTGATTGTGGTTTTTCTTGCTGTTTTGTATTATTCAATGTTAAATTGAGTTTGAACTTTATTCAATATTGTCAATTTCTTGTACATAGCTTGTTGGGCAAAAGATGTATGGAAAAAAATATTTATCATTTTAAATATATAACTTGTGTATTTTGGTGCATATTAATGATATTTTATATTCTCTCTCCTTTGTAAAATTGGCACCAAAAACAGTCATTTTATTTAAAATGACATAATTTTGTATCATTTAAAATAATAAATATTTTTCTTTTTTTTCAGTTAAAATCAATTTTGATGTGTGTGTGTGTGATGGTATTCTCTCCCGGAATCATTTGGCAGGATCAACAGGAGTTGTTTTCACACGGAATCACACCCCATATTAATTGTTACGATGAAAGTTGGAGAGATATTTGCTTAATCTTACATAATATCATAAATAATGTTAGGACCAAATTATTTTGCTTGGAAATATCTGAAATCTTAAAAAAAAACATTTTTATGTCGAATCAAACAGGTTCTTTCGTTTCTGTCTATGCCTTTTTTTCTACTTATTTTTCTAATTTTAAAAGATTGGTGGTTTTGATGAAATATAATATAGCATCTTTATTTTTGTTTACGTTCTGGGTCAAATTTCAAAATGTTAAACTAATTCATTTTATTTTTTCTTCCAAAGTGAATATTATATCTCATCATGTTTGAGTTTAGTAAAGAGTACTTCAATAAGTGGAGTAGCCACAGCCAAGTCACCAGGTGCCAAGGCACTTGCTTGGCTTTTTTTTGTTTTTTACTTATTATATAATTAATTATAATTAACTAAGGTAAAAATTATAATTTGATACCACCTAAATAGAAAATTAAATACTCAATACAAGGTAACAACAAACATCTAAATGCAAACAAATAATAAGAAACATGTATAGTATGGTTATTTTTGTGTTTTACATTTTTTCTTATTTTTTATCCTGTATATTTGTTTTTTTTCCTGCTTTATTCTAATCAGTTATGTTATTTATTCTTACTCTTATTATTTTAAAAAAGAAAGACTTTTAAACAAATCACAAAAATGATTAGTTGACCTATTTCAAAATTTGGACCCAACTAAATCAAATAAACCCATTTAAAGTAGAAAAAAAAGGTTTGTCCTTTTAAAGAACATAAGGTTGTAAACTTTTAGTTTTTGACACTATATCTTACCAGTAAAACATAGTTATAATATGAAAAATTGCTTTTTTTTTCTATTTTCTCGGTCACTTCAGCTAACTTCGAGAGAGAGAAAAAAAAACTTTTCATGTTATAAATATTTCTTACCGATAAGACATAGTGTTAAAAACTAAAAGGACACAATTTGTGTCCGTTAAAAAGACAAACACTTAATCCTTGAAAGTAACAATCATGAAACCAAATGAATAACAGGACTATAATTATGGAATATGAAGGTTCATTAAACTATTGTGTTTTGGGTTATTGCACACACAAAGAATAGTCAAAAACCTAATTTCCAAATGTGAGAACTTTTCATCGTGCTTATGATTATTGCAAACAAGTGCAACGTTCTCTAACGTGAGATATTGAAAATTTAAGGAATGGAGATAATAAAAGAGGAGACGAAGGACAATGCTTATTATACATATAATTATTATATTTGTGTGTTTTCATATCCTTAGGATAATGTTTGGTTCATTACTTATTATGTTGTAGGAAGAAAGTGAAATTCTTATGTTTGAAATGTTTATCGAAAAAGTTAGTGCATTTTTATATGTTTGCTTTGATATATAATCAATTATAATTCTTCATTTGAATTTTCAATATTATGTGACATTATTTAGTACATAATTTAGATAACTATGTTAGAATTCATAGTAAAAATTTTTCCTGATAAATTTGTGTAATTACGATAAATATTTTGATAATTTGATATGTCAAATTTTTTGGCACCACCTAAATTTTTGGGTTGGCTCCGCCACTTCTTCAATATATAGATTATCTGTGATGGCTTGTTCCCTATTATAGAGTCCTAACATATCTTCTTCTTGGTGCTGTCATAATATACTCAAAATAGGTTGAATATCTGTTAAATAATTGCAATGATGTGCTCGCTAAAATCAATAAATTATTTGCGATCAATACAAATGACTTTGTGTTATGGACCCGTATAAGGGGCCCATTGGATGGCAGGCCCAATAATGGGCAATCCAAGATCTGAGTCAATTATACTTACGAATAATATCCATCAAG